TTACGGCGCTCGCAACTGCATGTCTTTAATCTTAAATTTTGAACTTATAGATCTAGTTGTCAGGGGTCAAAATGAAAAGTGACAGCTTTCAGTAACGTGTGAAGGCATACATGTATAATATTATATATGAAATATGACTCCCCCACTAATATTATATTCCAATGACGCCCCAAACACAGTGGTTTTCGGTTGAGCTAGATCTATCGGTCTTTCGTTTCAATAAGAGTAAACAGTGCCGAATATAATCATTATTGATCATAAAAACGTTAACGAGTTAAATAGCCCGACAGAGTGCAGATTCGATTCAACTGGTTTCCCAAGATGCAAACGGAGTGAAGTTCAGTTTTCTTTCTTCTTTCGAAAATTGGTTCACACGAGGCGTTCTGACAAAACGCGTTTTGATTCTACTTCTCGCCATCCACGAATGGAAGATGTTGGCCGAAAATCCACCAATCAAATTTGTCGATTTTTCAACTGATAAAGTACCAATTTCCTCAAGTTAAACACGTTTTTTGTCATTTCATGTAACAATTAATAATAATACAAACCAGACTTGTATTAATTTGACGTTCAGTGACTGTGTCCATAGAGGGCTAAAATCCGAGAATCAGCGCATATTGATTTTGCCAGCACGACTGACAAGTTTTTTGTTTGTTTTTTTTTTTTTGCTTCTCAGCAAAATGGTCGCTTTTAAGTTAAAGCACAAGGGGGCTATCCCGAAAAATGCTGTTTTGAGAAAATCGAAGGTAAAGTTTTTGCCCCTTGTTAAGTTTCTTTTTTTTTTTTTTAAGGAGAGTTTTTTTTCTATAAAACCAAACAAATATACACTCCAATGAAACTGAAACCAAACTTTTCCTGTAGGTAGAGCAATGTCCATTTTTGGTGTACGTCAAGATTTCAGGAAACCCTCGAAATCTGGGTTTAGCCCGCTTGTCCTTAAAATAAAAGCGACCAAATAACCCCTGGCATGATGTACTGACTGCTTGCTCGGGAAATCTTTTTTCTAAAGATATTTAATTCTGCATTAAAATAATGAATGTTTATGGACAATTAGGACTACCGTTGAACATTTTGAAGCTCCAATAATAGGGAAGACATTTGAGACATCATCATGTCGGCCAGCTCAACTGGAGGGCAACATAGAAATGGGGTTTGCTTTACAACGTAACGTTTCGCTGGACCAAGAACAGGAAAGCACGTGTATTTTATTACATATAACAACAGTACATGTACATGTATTGTAAAATGCATCCCTACCCAGTTTTTGAATTGCTGTTTGCAAAATCTGCAATAATGTCTCTTACTGCTTTCTGTACGAGACTGCGTTTTCAGCAGTAGTAAGTTTATAACTAAGTTATTATTCCGCCCGAACTCACGAGGTTTTAGTTTTTTTTACTATCCATAGTCTTGTTAATGTTATTGTTGAAAGCATAACCCATCAGCCTTGTGTCTTGAGGAAAGGGGAAGCAACATCAACAGCATACACATGGTTATTCTAGCATCTGCGTTTGTCGTGGCCGCGATTTTGGGCATTTTTTGGTCCGCGAATCGCGACCGCGATTTTTGCAGCTTTCGAAAAAGACAAAACAACAAAGCCACTTCATAACATATTATTAGACATGTATTTTGATAATTTTTAATATGTCCATATGTTTCTATTTTCATGCGGAGTGTTCTGGACCACCAAAGGATCTTTAATTAACCTAGCATCTGCGTTTGTCGCGGCCGTGACCCGCGAATCGCGGCCGCGATTTTTGACCAATTTTGGTCCTGGAGACGAAAGCAGACGACAGGACATTGTTAGAAAGAGCAGGAAAGGAGGCGAAAGGATACAATTTTAGAGAAGAACATCTTCTGTCGCTATCCGGATTCGAACCTGGGACGTATAGAGTGAGAAGCGAACATCTTAACCTGTAGGTCACCAGAGCCCCCGAATGTATGTATGCTTGTCCTTGTAACTCAAATTTCGACAAAGGTATGAAAAAGTATTATTTATTTATTTATTTATTTTTTAAAATTTGTTTGTTCGTTTATTTTTGTTTAAATATTTATATATATTTATTTATATTTATATTTATATATGTATTATTATATATATATAATTTAACCAGGGCTGTGAGGGATACATGTACAGGATCCCAACAAAATACTGAGCACTCTATATAAAATTAAAACTTCTCCCCACTCGATAATCAAGCTTGGGTCTCTTGCGTGTGACAGAGAAGTGCCTAGCCGCAATACCACAGACGCCGGTCCACGTCGATGGAAAAACTCACAAACAAACAAACAAACATTACAAAAAATTTTGTTTATATTTCGCTCACACTTAGCTCGTGTGGGAGGTTGAAGGGCACCACTGGCAGGTTCTACTTCTGTACTTTCCCCTGTTGTTTTTGTCTGAATGTCTTACTTTTTCCCAACACTAAAAATGACCATTATTGTGTCGATGTGCTTCTCTTTACTAAAAAAAAACAACCCCACTTGCTCGAACTGTGCTCACGTCTCATTAGTAGAGAAATGAATACCAGAAATCAGTGAACATTTTCATCTCGTTAATTAATAAAATCAACGAAGACAAAAGGGAAATGTTGTGTAGTTTTCTGTGCTATAATTATAATGTCAAACTGAAACATATTCATTCTAAAATTTTCAGTAAATTGATGTATTCTTCTATCAAGCACAGTCAGTTGAGTCAGGGAGAAAAATATTTTAAATTTTGTAGTTTTAATTAAAGTTTTACGGCACTTGCAACACAATAATATAAGGTCATATAAGTGCCGAAGATTAGAGGCAAATGTAAGAAAAGTGTAAGAGGGGGGGGGGGCGCAAAAAGTCCACAAAAAGGTGTAAGATTATATTTGAACAGCCTCTTAGTAGCCTACTTAAGCCAATGGTCATTTCACTGGAGTCAATACACACTGACGGAACAGCCAAATGATCTAGATCTCTATCCATCAGAACAGAAAGTAGTACAGTATTAGTATTAGTAATATTGCTTCCGGTTTCACACACATTTTCAACTTTATCTTTTTAAACTTTAGGTTTTTTAATCTCAATGCAACTACTTTTCATAACAAGTTGACCAAAGGTGTTTTTATTCATAAAAATATGAACCATAAATGTAGGCCTACATGTATTATGTATGTATGGCTTAGGCCTAGAACTGATCCTATAATCTCGTTTTGTCAAAATTTTTGGGCTATAACTACGAAATTGCAGACTTCTTTATTTTAAAATTATACTTTATACTTAGCCTACGTGTTCACCCTCTGTTGCGTTACCGTTAGGCGCCAAGGAGTTCTGTTACAATAATCTTGAACTTGAACTTGAATAATGACAGTTCTACTTTTTCCTCCTCAACCTAGAAAATATATTAAAATAAATTTAATACAGAACTTAGATCTCGATCTCGAGAATTTCACTACAGTGAAAGAAAGTTTCACTCTGGCTCTTAGACAGATCTCTATACATTACGTTGCTTGCTTTTGAGGGTCAGGCTGTCATATTTTTAGGTGCAGAACACTAAAACCATTGCAAATCATTTTAACAAAATTTTAAAAAATTAAGTTAAAGGGGGATACATGTAGGCCTATTACTATTAATAATAGTGCTACACACTGCTTAATCAACGTATTGCATTTAGCACTTCAGGTATAGGCTACTTTGAAAGCATTTTTTTTTTTTTTGGATAGTCTTCCAATGGTAACAACTGGAAATACTGAACTGAAACTGATCTCTCAACTGCATCTTTCGTTAAATCCAAAAGATGATCAAATAAAACATCAAATTGTATTACTACTAGTTTCAACGAGCTCGGATTCAGCGAAATTAGATACATTCCCCGCTTTTATAGGCCAGGCCTGGCAACCTCGTTGAATCCGAGTTCTAGTTCTACTGTATTGGGGCAGATAACTCAAATTGGTCAGCTGACAGTTGACACAAATTGATATCAGCAGCCTGCTCTAAATCTAATGTGGACTCTGCATCATCAGTAGCAATCTCCTTACTTGGTGTCCTTAAACGTATTTCCCCACATCCATGAACAACACACATATTAGAACATAACAAGCTCTTCGAACTGGTTTTTATTTCATTAAAATCAAGCAATCATGAGTGAAAAGCTACGATTGTGAAGTTGATCACTACGAGTTTTCCTCCTCGGGAAGAACGCTACTTACCAGATCGGCACACCGTTTGTGGTAGGCCTACCTAGTTCGATCTTTGTGGAGAGGCCCAACGGTTTTCGTGGGCATGATAATAATATTGTGGAGTTTGTTGAAATTTATGTAATTGGTTACTCCAATGTTTCTCCCCCCAGTCTGGAGCGCTAATTGTATTTCTACATTAAGTATCACTAGTGTCAAAACTCGTGAAACATCCGACATAATATCTAACCATGCAAAAGGAATATATCATCATCAGTTTACTACCACCTGTATTAGTACTAGATGCGGAAATGGTCGCATGCCCACTCTAATTATGAATCGACTCTCCCAATCGACACTGAAAGTGAAAGGGGTCATGGGTGCCGATCCTGACCTGAGCCTCCTTTCCGTTCATATTTTTGCCTACAGAAGCAAAGCAAGTAACTGCTACTGCTACACCACAGATGCTGGGCCTCATAATCTGTTTTCAAAAACAGATGAAAGAGACATTGAACTTCAGTTTTAGTAGAGGTTTTATGACGCTTACCACTGCATAAGGTCATACGAGCACCAGAAGATTAGAGGTGTTACAAGAGAGTAACAAACATAAAAAAGAAGAAGGGGAGATAAGGACGATAGATGGTTTGATAGGAAAGAAGAAGCAAACCACACCAGAGCACCCGCCAACCACCCACAATGTCCAATTAAGACAACATACCATATCACATGTTTTTCTAAAAGCAGAAGAGCCATTTTGAAAGCAAAAAAAGTAAGCATGACAACAATATGCAGAAATGGAAAAATCTAAAAGGAAGACCAAGGAAATACACAAATAAAAGAAGACTGTGAAGGCTGTTTGGTTACTACTATAACTTTTATTCAACATTATGACCCATTCCATCTCAAAGCACATGCACACACTAAAGTAAGATGAGGAAAGGGGCTTTATCTTTCTTTCTGCTTTAAAGTCACAGCTACAGATCTGTGGATTTTGCTCAAGATTATTTTCTATTCAGTGCAACTACAGCTTTGCACAAACCCAAAAGTAAATAACAGGAGGAAGAAAGTAAAGCCCATTTAACTTAAAAAGTTAGTTGCAAAATCTGCATCAAAAGAGGGAAGGCTTCATTTTGTAGCACCAGAGTGCCCTGGCAGGTGGGTGTATCTAATGTATGTATCGCTACCATCACCTGTATCCGACGGGTTACATGGATTCAGAATCTGTCCATTATACATTGTTGGTGGTGAAGTTCCAGAAACCATGAGTCTCTGCACTTTATGACCATGCTTCACAAGAATAGTGGGGCTATTGAAAGACCTTCTTGTGAGAGCATAGTGCTTTTTATAACTAGCTACAGCATTTTTAGCAGCTGCTTGTACTGGAATAACAGGTACTGTGGCCACTGTGGTCTGGTCAGAAGTGTTTACGTCAGATACAGGAGAATGAATGCGGTTTGCCAATGACTGCTCTACAGGAATCACATTGCCCTGAAAAGATAAAGAGATGAGACAAGGCAAAAAGTATCATTCAACCTCAAACATGTGGATCAGTAAGACAATTCCTATTTACTTTAGTTTTCTTTTATTTTTTAAATATAATGTAGTCCATCAACACAATTTAAATAATTTAGGAGGCAGACTTCTGACTGCCTGTCGCGGCCAACCTGGACCGAGAGTGATAAACATCCCAGCAGAGAGAAAGATACCCAATAAACATCTACTCCTAACTCGAGAATTAACCTGCGTTTCCTGCCTACAACAGTAAAGCACTTCGACTGCTACACTACAGGGCGCATCACCCACTATACACAAAATTTGGCCTGACACCTTCCCATGGCCAGTAAAATACGCTTGGTGTCAGCACCTTCCAGCACTGTGTATATTTAAATCTAATTTATGAACGTTGGAAAATTAAAATATAAATCGAATAAAATGAATGCTGGTTGGCAATAGTATCATTGCCACATGCTAAGTCATACTGTGCAACTTAACTCGTTCAGCAAACAAACCACCATACGACACAGGCATGCATTTGAATAAATTCTTTTTACATTGGTTTAAAAAACAACAACTCTTGCCCATTTATGAGATTGACGCCATCTGATTAGTAGAAGAAAAGTAATTATGATAGGGTCCAATAGCGTATTACATGCACACTTAGTATAGTATGGCAAGTAACTGTTACAGATAGAGATTCAAGGATAATAGATGTAAGTCATTGATCTGAGAGCAATGAATTTAGAAATAATGGTGGTGATAAGTGATGATGCGAGATTGTGTATAAGGAATGTTAGCTTAAGTCCTATGTTCCTCTGCTTCAATACGTCACAAGGGACGTGGGAACTAGTGCTAGGCTGCTAGGTTCCCCGATTATTGAAAGTTAGAAATCGTAGGAATCGATTCCGAACCCAATTACTTACTTTCTAATGATGTGGCTTCTTCCGGTGGTTACCTGGTTGGCTCCGAATATCTTCAGGGTTTAGGATAACCTTGATTTCAGAACACTACGAAGCATTAGCTTATTATTTTCAAAAATAAATTCTTTAATAATAAAAAAAGAGAAGACTAATGATTTAAATAACTGGTAGCCGTTGGGTTACATAAAAGGAGTCAGAACTTTTCTTCCGTAGCATTAATTGTAGGGAATCGGTTCCGGAATCGATTCTTCGCCCAGCTCTAGTGGGAACCCTCTATCTCGTTCCCTACTGGAACCATCTTTACAGTCAATGCAAAGTTCAAAATGGTGGGAAGTCTCTGTTAAGGTGACATTGTTAGTGTCAGCCTATTCTATCGCGCCAAGTAGGAAGACAGTATGTTGGGGTATTTTTAAGCGAGTTGTAGGTAGCAAGTTGACAAACAGATTATGAACTTTAAAAATGCAGCACTGTACTCCCTGATCATTTACCCCGATTATTCTTATAACGTCCTATTAAAGTTGCGGAGATTCTAACACAGAATCCTCGAACCCGAGTCGAGAGGGCACAATTTACACATAATATTGTATCCCCTCGCTTCAGGGGGAGCGACCTCAAACTCCCAAATCAAGTACCCTGTGTCTGAATCCCCAAGGTCTTGTCCAATATTGGTATGATTCCAATGTAAACATTTGGAAGCAATTCCGACATTTAACAAGTCGATATTGTGCAGATGTGTTTTTGAGGGATAGAAATTACTTAAGTGAAAGGGGGGAGAGGGAGAGAAAGAGAAAGGAGGGGGATGGCAAGAGAGGAGAGGCTTAGTGGCAAACAATGAACATGCAGGGGATGATATAAAGATATAAGGCTGGAGAAGGTAAAAAGATAGACAGCCATACCGAAACAGAGAGAGATAGAGGAAGGACAGAGAGAAATAAAAATTAATTTTTGTTACTTTGGGATTTTTAATTTTTATTCCCCCGTCAACATAGTTTTTAGATAACCTACGAGGCACCTTAGCAGAGACCAAGCCCACCATTTCGGAACTTCACAGTGACCGTAAAGATGGTTCCAGTAGGGAACGAGATAGAGGGTGCCCACGTCCCTTATGACTCATTGGAGAAGAGGAAGATGGGACTAACGCTAACATTACAGGGAATGGGATAGAGGGTGTCCACGTCCCTCATGACTCATTGGAGCAGAGGAAGATAGGACTAACATTAACATTACTTAAACGTAATCCCTCATCATCACTCATCACTATATCTAAAATCATCACCATTCCCAGACCAATCTCTATGAGCTATTACAATTACTTATTATATTAAGTATGCACGTAATACACTACTGGACACTATCATATGCACATTTTCTACTAATCAGATGGTGTTAATCTCGTATAAATGGGCAAGGGTGAAAAAAGTTGGAGAAAAAAAAGAGATAATCTACACGTTAGGATTTTAACCTGCCTGGGAGGGACACAATATCCCAGCAGAAAAACTGCAGTACTAGAGTACAGCTGGGTAACTTTGCCAGTCAGGGAAATTCACATCCCTTTTCTACTTTATCATGGAATAACCCGTTTTACCGAGTTTAACCCATCTAAAGGTTATCAGGATTATTGTTGCAATGCCGTGACTGTCCCCAAGAGGTTGTTCGTTCTACAGATCCAACCAATTAAATATGGAGAAAACAAGTAAACATATCTATAATAAATATTCCAGGGAAGATTTACAGAGGGCTGTCAAGGGGCAGAGTTGCTCCAGCGTTGCGAAAAGTTTCGGCATGCCTAGGAAAACACAGGCTGACCAAATCTAAGGAGGGCGGGTAGAAACAAAATATGTCAGAGGAAATTTAAGGCAACTGTTATTAGTGCTTCAAAAGCTAGCTTTCCTTTGACCAAAAATCAGTTTCTGTCACAAACAGGGATGGCTGTGAAAAGGTTGGGGTTAAAAACTCAGTTTGAGGATAGGATCTCAAGAAGGATTATTGGTCCAAGATCCGGAACAGATGTCCTGACCTTGTAATCAGAACCCTCTAATAGACTGGCTTTGATTACTCGACCCATCATCAATGGGAATTTTTCTGAATTAGAAAGCATTTTGAAATGCCTGCAGCTCTTGAAAAATCCTGGACAGATCTGGAATTGTGACTAAACTGGCCTTCAGTTCTCACCTGACCCATCCAGGGTGATGGCACAAAAATGCGTCCTGCAACGTCGTCGCGAGGTGTAGTCCATCCAAGAAGAGTGAATTAACTAATGCAGCTGGACAAGCCATGCTTCCCCTTTGCATAGTCAAGGGAAAAGTTAAGATCAGTGCTGTCATTCACCACCCAAGATAGACCTGAAAGGAGTGCGTGGATGTAGCAACCGAACACATGGATGGACGATGACATAGGAGTCCAGTAGTTCTCAAGTGTTCTTGCAACACTGTGGAGAAGCAAGACTGGCCGCTCATTCTAGACTCTCACCATAGCCACGAGGTGCAGGAGATGATGGAGCTGGCACAGAAGAAAAACATTCACATCCTTTCCCACCGAACAAGAATTGCATTTTGGAATTGGGTCTTCGCACCTTCAGACACTGAGGGAGGTTGCTCAGACAGAAACTCGTGGGAACTGGAGAGAGTAGCGCCAGCGCTGACGCAGTGGAAGTTTCATTGACATAACATGACAGCATGGAGCAGCCGGTAGTTGTTCTCGACCTGCTGAACCTGATAGACCCACCATGTGAAGCAACAGCACTTCCCTCACAAACAGAAGATCCAGCACCTTGAGCTCCCTGGATAGTACATCATGCACCATGGGAGACATTCTCGAGCAATAACATCCCAGACTGCCCACAAGCAAGGAAGAAGAAAGAAAAAAAAGACGCTGCAAATCAGGACAGAAGGCAACAATTATTTGAGAAGACAGCATTGCTGCGAGCACTGTCCACTTTTTAACAATAAAATAAGAGGTTTTAGATGCAACTGGTCATTCAGAAACAGCTTCAAACAACACATCCAAATGAAACGGACATAGAAGACTGTCCCACTTAACAAAATTAAGGGATTTCTGTATGACCTCAATACATACCGGAACGTTGATTAAGCAGTGTGTAGCAAACTTGTAGAGTATGGGTGAATTCCTTACGTAACTTTGGCAAAGACGTTATGATCATATACATACCTCGACTGTAGTTCCTTCTACAAAAGTAGCATCAGCAAGCTCAGCACCCTGATATGTTTGCGGGGTTTGGTACACAACATCGGCAGCTGTTGGCATGGTAGCCCAAATATACCCTGGGTTTGGTTGGACCGGCTGTAATGAACTCTGCAAAGACTTTTTTAAAAAAGAAGGGCAACAATTAATGGGGCCCCAAGCTTGTAATTTATTTTAAATACATATTAGTTTGGCAAGTTTTTAAGTATTAGAAAGGTTTTACGGCGCAAGTGCATAAGGTCATACCAGTGCCAAGGGGTGGATGTCAACAGAGAAGTCCAAACAGGGAATCAGGCTTACTCTGCTCACCTCTCTAACCGTAACAGCACAAAGTCTGCTTGGACTATCAAGACACCCCAGAAATAGCAGTTCACAAGAGAGTGACAAACATACAAAAGAAGTAGAGGAAAAATGACAAAAGCAAGGATGAGGAAAGAAAAAGCAGCAGTTCCCCCTATGTTCCGGCACAGTATGAGCATGACATTGATAAATCAGGCCATTTACAATTCTGCTGTGCATAAAAACATGTTAATATCCCCCCTTTGGGAATGGCCTAAAGACAATTTCAGTCAGTAGCACTGACAGTTGTAGAAAACAGCAAGTCCATAAACTCCCCAAAGAAGAGAATGAGGGAGGAAGAGAGGAAACAAAGTCCCCCATTTCAGGTAAATTCAGGGGCAATTTCAGTTATTTTGGCCAAAAATCAGATAGTACAAAGACAAAGAAGGAAAAAAAATAAATAAAAAGGAGTAGAGATAAAGACTGTAGTTCTTTGATAGAAAAGAAGGAGCAAACCCCACCAGCCATCCACTTATATTTTTATATTTAAACTTGAGCCCACACATCTGTGTGTGTGTGTGTGTGTGTGTGTGGTGACACACACAATGTGAGGCATCATGGTGAAATCAGGCACTCCTCATCAAAATAATGAAATCGGGAAAACATTTTCCCTCCATTTTGACAATTTTTATCAAATTTTTGTTTTTGGGTCCAACACCTTTCCTGTACATAAAAATATTTCCATATATGAATTTTACAGAAATTTTTTTTTAATAAAGGCACAAAATATGTAATTTTATCATTTTCAAGGACTTTCAGCTATTGAAATCATCAAACTTTGGCAGCCATTTTCTTGCTTATTTTACCACTGAAACGAAGCTACCCAATCTCCTTCAATTGCAAATATCTCGACTTCTTTTTAAGATTTCTATGTGGAATTTTTGCAGAGACAAATGAATAAGCTTTCAGATGATAGCAACAGCTCCAAAGATTAAAAAATTGACGAGCACCCGATTCCACCGCGTCATGACAATAAATGAAGGTGGACATAGCTCACATTTTAATCAAAGTATTTGTATTACTCAGTGTTCAATGTTTTGATTCAGTTCCCCCTTCATCATTCCTCTCTACAGAATTTTTTCCTGAATAACCACAATTTCCTAGAAATGTAGTCGTGATTTTTAAAAATGTATGATCAGATTTTCAAACAGTGAAATGCATTTTGTTGGGGGGGGGGGTTGCGGTTCTTTTGCTTTGGTAAGTGTGTTACGGCAGTTGCAACTGCATACGGTCATAAGAGCATACGGTACCAGACCTGCCACTTTATGAAATCTAAAAATCAGGACGTTAGAGTTAAAAAATCAGGATCTGGTGAAAAAAATCGGGATCAACGGCAAATCAGTCATAAGGGGTACTGGGGAAGGGGGATCCTGGTTCCCTTTTATGAGGAAAGTATGCAAGAGAAAACTTTTGCAGGAATAAGTTCACGTTTGGGCCACTAAATAGAGGGAAAACTGAAAGACAGCATTACTGGAGTCAAGAGTGGGAGAGCGCAGGTTGCAGTAAAGCTGAAACTCTCGTCTTGAAAATAGCTGACACATAACTCAAATCATCCACGCAAAAAGCCCGTGTTTTCATACAGTAACAACGTTTGACTTCCATCGCAAATACTCCCCCCCCCCCCGAAAAAAAAGATCACGCCAAGGTTGTTTTATTTATTTCTTTTTTCTTATTCCTTTATCCTCAATTAGTAGGTTCTACTTATATCACGGTAAGAACTTTAAGCCCAAGTGTCAAAACAATACCCCCCACCCACTCCCCCCAGTCATCCTGGTTAAGTCTCGAAAAACACCCCGACCAATGCGACCGATGTGAATGAACTTTGCTGACCCCAACACATGCGCTACTCACACGTACGAGGTCATGTCACCTGTTGCAAATAAGCGTTTGAAAGTTCCACTGACGGGTTATTCTTAGGCCCACGACATAATTGTTACAGTAATCAGGACAGTCGGAGAATTCTGGGTTATAAAAGCGAAAGTACATCTTGAGCGTATCCATGTCGGAATTCAAAATCGATACTACGTCGGTTTTAGTTGAAATAACGTGCATGAGTCATCTACTAGATTCTAGATTTGGCACAGATGCTTTAGAAAGTAGCGTTCCAAGTTCCTGCCGATAAAAAGTTCAATCACTGCTTCCAAGCAGAAGAGATTGCACAACTTTTTATATTTTTTCTAAGAATCTGGCGCAACGACAAAAAATCCGGATACTGGCGATCGAAATTTGGGAAAATCGGGATGCTTGAGATTTGGGGCAAAAAATCAGGATATCCCGATTTAATCGGGATGAGTGGCAGGTCTGCAGTACACATTTTCAATTTGAATTAAATTTTGAATTGTGCACGATAGGCAGCTGAAGCCTACTCTGATCAATTTTAGAACCATCAAAGGATTTTTAACGTGCTCAACTTGCACAAGCGACCTCCTAGATTTTCCACAGATAAGGGGTGTGGCTGAATGACAGCAAGAAGGAGCAAAGGAGTAGCAGTACAAGGGCTGCAAAAAAAGTCAGGAGCCCAGAGGTGGGGGCAGAAAGTGAAGATGAAAACAGACAGAACATAAGAGAGAGTAGGAAAAGGTGAAAGGAAGAAAATTTTTCCCACTGCTGTCAGGTTTCGAACCCCCGGACCGATTGAATGAGAGATGAACACCGTAACCTCTAGCCCACGAGAGCCCCCAAAATGAATTTCAGTTGTGGAATATTGACTACGTATTCCGTAGAGCAATTCCCAAAGTATAACCCTACTTAAATTTACCTGCTGATAAGGGTACTGAGGTGTCATGTACACTTGATTCTGTGGGATCATTACTGCTGCTGTTGCATAGGACTGCTGTGAAATAAAAAATGTTTAAAGGAACATCAGTTCACAATGAATACCCTCAAACTTTCTAAATTTACTGAAGGGTTGAATGGTTTAATAGTTCCACTTAATCTGAGACTTGCTAACATACTTGAGAAAGAAACATTCACACCATGATCACGTCTGTATAAAGAGAACATCTACTAGCAATGTCAATCAAATCCATTCCCACGAACCCAATTTAGTTGGCTGTTAGCAAGTCTTTTTTTTTTTTAACTACAGGAATCTGGGTCACTCATTTTCTTAGACTAGTAGAGTGGTAGTTTTTAAACAACAATGCGACAACCATCAGAAAACTGGACAATACAGATTTGAGGATGGAGAACTTTCTACACAAAAAGTTGAACCTGCTTTAACGTCCACCTATACTAAAAACAGGGTTGGGTTGATGTAAATCAGTTGATTTTTTAAAATTTAAATCAACTTGATTTTTTTGATAAAAATCAGTGATTTAAATCACTTTTTTTTTAAATTATTTTTTATTCAGTTTTTACATATTTCAACATTCAGAATTCCCTTCCTTGGTTTCATAAAACAGATATAAGGTTAAGTAGACTAATAATAATCATGTTTAAAAGTCTGCTTTCCCACCTTTCACTGTAAAATTATACAGTATTCAATTTACTTTTTTTCCATAATTGAAATCAGAGCTGGGTTGATTTAAATCAGTTGATTTTTTAAATATTTCAATCAACTTGATTTTTTTAACAAATGTATTCAGTTTTTACATATTTGAACATTGAAAATTCCTTTCCTTGGTTTTATTAAACATATAAGGTTTAGTAGACTAATATAATCATGCTTAAAAGTCTGCTTTCCCCCTTGTCACTGTAAAATAATACAGTATTCAATTGACTTTTTTTCATAATTGAAATCAGGGTTGGGTTGATTTAAATCAAGTCTATTTAAATCAGTTGATTTTTTAAATTTTTTAATCAACTTGATTTTAAAAATAAAACTCAGTGATTTAAATCACTTTAAAAAAATGTATTCTGTTTTTACATCTTTAAATATTCAGAATTCCTTTCCTTGGTTTTATAAAACAGTATATAAGGTTTAGTAGACTAATAAAATCATGCTTAAAAGTCTGCTTTCCCCCCTGTCACTGTAAAATAATACAGCATTCAATTTACTTTTTTTTCATTATTGAAATTAACATTTTCTTTTTCTTTTTAGACAAACACAAGCGCATGCACACACACACACACTGTAATAAAATGCAAGTTTATCTATGAATAATTACCCCCCCACCCCCTTCCTTTTAGACTGACATTTTCTTCATTTTTTGTCTGTAGCCATAATTCATATATATATACTATTATATAGCAGATTAAGGCTTTCTTTTGAGGTTGCTTAATTTAATCATTAGTTAAAATAAAGACAATGCATTTTGCACTAAAAGAACATACTTTTAGCAACCAAAAATCCCAAACTGTGTCGACATTTTTTTTTTAAATCAAAAAAAATCACGAACCCTGACTAACAACCACTTTACACTCCCCTGTTGTGCTTTTAACCCCTTTGATCTAGCCAGATCTAGACGTATTTTGGACCCTGGATCTTCAGTTGAGCAGCGCTCCTCATTCCCTATACCCGTCTTGCTCATTATTTTTTAAAAACTAGCAAATCTTAGTCAAAAAGTGAAATTTTGGCATTTATGTTATCGCCAGAGCATGTGATCATCCGCAAGACTAAACCCATATTTATTGATCACTTGTCAACTTAGCAGTAAACTAATACTAAGAAATTTGGTTTTGGTACTAATATGAGCATTTTTAAATTCCCAAACAAAAATCAACGTAGTGCTTGTGAAAAAATCAAGTTGGAGGACTATGGCCAGATGATTAGTGTTGACAATGGCCCTTGGACAATTTCCAAGGCTGCCGGATTGGGACTACATTAAAATTGTTTTTCTTCTTGGGGGGGGGGGGGGGGGGGTGTCGTCCAGAATTGGGATACTATGTAAGCTTCATCAACAGCATTAGGAGCTGATCACTTTGAATAACAGGAGATTTGTGTTATCTTGGACAGGTTCTTGGAGCAGTTGGTCGATAAAATATACCTGTTGGACGGGTAGCTTTTAGGTCTCTATAAACACATAACACAAAATTGGGAAATACAAGTGGCCATTAGTACAGGTAGTTACAAGAGCAGGTTTGATTATTCTTTACATATAGCTTCCTGAGAGTATACAACTACTAAATTCAAACTGCATTAAGATCAGTCATTACAACAGAATGCTGTGGTAAGTCCCACTTGTTAGTTTTAGCGAGTTTTACGGCACTTGAAGCACAATAAGGTCATATAAGTGCCAAAGATTAGAGGTGTTTCAAGAGAATAACAAATACAAAAAAAGAGGAGGATAAGGACGAAAGATGTTTGATACAAAAGAAGCAAAAGTATTAGCAGCCCCTAAAATCAGTTGCACTTTAGTATTTAGTTTTAGTACAGGGTTTTACGGCGCTCGCAACAGCATAAGGTCGTATGAGCGCCAAGGGGTGGGTGTCAACAGAGAAGTCTTTACAGGGAATCAGACTTATTCTGCTCACCTCTCTAGCTTCAACAGCACAAGGTCTGCTTCGACTTTCAAGGCACCCCCGAAATAGCAGGTCACAAGAGAGTGACAAAGATACAAAAGAAGTAGAGGAAAATGACAATAGTAAGGATTAGGAAAAAAAAAAAAGCAGCAGTTCCCTGTTGTAGATCAGGCAGTTATGAGCTTGACATGAATCAGCCCATTTACAATTCTACTGTGCTTGAACGAGAAATGTCCCCCCTTTGGGAATGGCCTAAAGACACTACAGTCAGTGACACTGCCCCGGGGGGGATCAGTTGCACTATGGGCTCAAGGTAGGCTCAATCAGATCATAGAAAGCAAAAATAACCTATGTTTCACTGAGAAGCACTTGAAGACAATAGAAACAGCAGGCAGAGGCGCAGTACATAGCATGTGGATTTAAAAAAGACCAACTTTGTATCAGCTTCTGTGATTTAGCTGGACAACACACATGGAAAAAGGAGAATTTGTAACAATGGACAAAATGACCGTACCAAGGGACAAGATGAGTCGCACAAAATGCCTACCTGGGGCTGAGTCATTGGGTAGTTGCCATCTGGGGTTTGAAAAATAGCCATGCCATTCTGATATGTGTAAGGAACACCATTTGTGAATAAGACAGAACCTGGAGGTATACTTGCATCTGAAATTTTAAGATGTGACCACTAGTTAGCATTCAATACCACCAAGACAAGTAACACAAACCATGGGTGAAAAATACAAGAATGTTGCTTGTTCCGTTTGTCAAATCAATTAAATGTTACGCATACATTGTGTTGTAAAGTCGAAAAAACAAACCCTAAATAAGGTCCCTGAAAAGTTTAAAAAACAATTTTTTTTAAACATTCAAGGAGTAGAGCTGCTTCCAAAGGAAGGTCTTTCGGGTGTGATGGTTTACCTTACAAGTCTAATAATTCTAAATTAATGTAAAAAATGACCAAAAGAATGCCTGCCACAAGTAAACTACACTGTGACCCTTCAGCAAGCCTAACATAAATTTATTTTTCATTTACCATTTCCCCCATGGTCAACTGCTTTCAACTGCCCTCAAAGCCCCAAATATAAAGTTAGCCTGCTACATTCGGAAGTTGCCTTTAAGTATTGATGAAATCAGATTGCCCTCTGCCTGCAAATGTAGTGCCTCCCAACTTATTTTTTTAAGAGACGGTGCCTATGAGAGGATCAGTTCTGTCCAGTTTATGGCGGCTTCAATGCACCTGCATGCACACTGTATTATGCCTAGTTTGCTTTTTTTTTTTAAGTCATTGATATTTTAGTCTTTTCCACTGGCAACACATTCTCGTCCAATAATCTGTAAATCATCAGTGCATTTTGATATCTGCGTATGGAACATTCAGACTTTCAAGAAAATGTGGGGGGAAAAATTAGTCTGGTACGCTTCTTGATTTTTACATTTTATAGCCTATTTATACAAATAAAAAGGTGAGAGCTGATTTTTAAGATATTTTGTTCCATACATGGATAGCGAACTGCAATGACGATGTATATTAATATAATTATTACCCCAGAGCTAAAACAATTAAGTTTCAAGAGGTGTCACTCAAATCAAAACAGATTTTATCAGCAGCCATACAACTTACACAATACGTTTGCAGAACACTTGACGGCTGATTATTGAGATGTATGAGATACAACTACAGCCCAGTCAAAGGATTAATCTTTTTTAATCCTAAAAATGAAGTGTCACAGTCAACTTTCAACACAGCACTTACCATATGGTCGAGGGAGACCCTGTGAGGAAAATAGAAACAAACATATATTTTAAAAATCATCCCTACAATATGCTTGAAAATATTCCCCCTCATACAAGGAAGGAAAGTGCACCCAATTAATCACACGTGTTCTTCAATTAATTCTACCACTTAGGAATTTACCTATCGTAACTATAGAAGCCTCAACATGTCCAAAAGCAAATCCATATTTTGCAAATGAAGCCTTTAATGTAGCAGGTAACTTCTCTTTATATTAACTTCAATCACATAGCCTGCAGTGTGGCCTCACCATTTAACATTATCGGTCACTGTAACCTATTCCTTTCACAGAGCCTCATCGAAAACAGTAAGAAGTGAATGTGATCTGTAGATGAAGCATGTTCATCAAGTTTGTGCTTCCAATTTCACTTTCCTTAAAAAACACACTGTCCGAGCTAAGTAGCAAGGTGTGATCAACAAGCAGCTCAACACAAAGTACTTACCTGTTTCCTTACTGCAGGGCCTATATTCAATTTCCGGTCTTTGAATATGAGGTTGTCAGACTGCAAATATATTTTTTTAAAATTATTTTTCATCAGAAGAAATGATAGAGAATTATAACAAAAAGTCATACCTACCCCAACACTGTCCTCAGCTTAGTTTATCTTTTATACACATAAATACACTGTTCATCAAGTTATAAAAGTACTAATATTTGTGCCTTCGATTACACAGCTCACTTATTAAGAAAAAAAGGTGCTGGTGTCAACCAATTGATTTGCTTTTCAGTTCACACAAAGACGGAAAACAGGGTCGGTCATTATTCCCTCCCCCCATCCCAGTAAAAAAGAGGGGCAAAGATATAAATAACTCAAAGGCAAAGAGTCTTTTGTAGAAAACAATGCACATGTAATATAGTAGTCTGCACCAAAGAATAAAAAGCATAAGAACCTGGTCCACCCAAGAGCCCGTTTAATACTGGGTGCTAATTGGTCGGGTCGGGTCGGTTTACTACCCAGATTGCGGACGCAAAGCGGCTTTGCCTACACAAACTGATCGCCTCACTAGTCGCCTAAAAAACAAACGCGTTTGTTTTCAGGTGACTGGTTGGGCAATCGACACGACTCGACCCCGTCCACAATGGGCACCCAGTATAAACCATGTAGTGGAATTTTAGCTCTATAACTCCCAAGCCTCGGTTAAAGTTCTAAAAATAAACATCCACCACAGAGACAGTTTGAGCTAAGGACAATCAACTTTTTTGAGCATCCTGTTTTACCAAACTTTCAAGCATTAAGACCATTTTCAAGTTCGGACCAGTACATTATCTCGTGGCAAAGTTCAAAGCGCTAAGGAGGAAAGGAGTGGGACTCTCGCACCCTTGTTCCACTTGTTTAAGGTAGGACTGGGGTTCAGGTACAGGGAGCTGGGGTGACATGGATGAGAAGACAATGAAATCACGCTTACGTTAATGTCTTTCCCACAGGAGTTAGTTTTGATAAGTCATATTTCCTCATTGAATAAACAAGAAAAACTAACCAGTTGGAACCAAATGACACATGAAATATATGTGAAAATCTGTCTTTTTCTTCTCCCCACCACTGGGTTCTTGGACGGAAACAACTTTAATACTAACTATATCATGAGCAATTCAAGAGTAAAGTAAAAATAACCTTCTGAAAGCAAAAAGGCAACAAAAATTCAGTTGCGCTTAAAACTACATTTCTAAGGCACATCAATAGCTTTAAAAAAAAAAACCCAACTCATAATAGAACAAAGTACAGTGACATGTTCACAGCGATATAGATATAGATAT